TTACATAATCCATATAGAAAAAAGGCCAAAGACACACAACAACAAATTAAAATTAAAGGGCAAAACTTTGAAAGAAGTACAGCAAATAAAATATCTAGGACTTACCATAGATAGACGTCTCACCTGGAAGAACCACATACAACAACTAGCCACAACTCTAGCATCATATACATGCTTAGCTCACAAACTAAAAAATGCATTACCTACACAACAAAAAAACATAGTCTACCACGCGTACATAAAGCCAAAACTAACCTACCTCATAACCTTTTGGGCAACAGGAGACAAATCTAACCTAAACTACCTACAAAGACAACAAAACAAGGTCATAAAAATCTTGTACAATCTAAAAAAAGACATGTCAACTGCATATGTCTACCAAAGCACAAAATTGTTAAACATAGAGGAACTGAGGCAGACTGAGACCTTAAAAATAGTCCACCAAACACGGGGCTTGAATGCCAAAATGAATAGTGAGCTCCACAGCTATAATACAAGGGGAAGGGACACTTACAGACTGCTAAAGTCCAAAACCAAAATGGGGGAGAGAAGACTGGCTTCAGGAGGAGTTAGTTTGTACAACAATTTGCCCGAGAGCTACAAAAACATGACTGACAGCCAATTCAAAAAAATGATAGTCCAGCATATAATTAGTACTAGGAAAGATCTGTGATATAAACGAGACATTTATTTACATATTTATATTTATATTCTATCTATTTATACAGTTATATATACACATTGTTTTACACATTACATTTATTTATATATTTATATACAAACAAACAAAATGTACCTGTTATAACCCACAATGGGTTCTTTAGGTTTACGTACATCAATAATAAAAAAAAAAAAAATATTTAATTAATTAAACTAGGTAGTTACTAAATTAGGTCCTTTTTACAACTAAAATAAAATAACTACAAAATTATTCACTGCATTCATAAGGCTTAAGCAGAAATTTAAATTTTATTAAAATTATTGACATACAACAATTTTCAAATTTTGATACCAAAATTATTTGATTCTGTCTAGATGTTGCTAAATTGGCATACCACAATAACTACCAGGTAGTTGATAAATTATATAAATATAAATATAAATATAAATATATATATATATATATATATATACATATATATATATATATTATTTACTTAATTCAAAAGCGTCTAAGTACCAAAACTAATTTGTTAAGAAATTAAAGAAAAACCTCTTATACCTTGGTGGAGATAGATAGCATGCCCGATGGACGAACAAAGCTATATACCTACTCTCTAAAGATTTTCTTATTTCGGGATTTAAACTCACTAACAATGAAAATAAGTCATTGCGTAGAATTTGTATTTTTATTATTTCGGTTTACATATTTGCCTGGTTTCAAGCTCCAAATGCAACTTGCGCGCCCAAAAATGATTTGAAAACACTTCATGAACTTCATGTTTATAAAAATATAGATTTGCAAATAGAAGAGCTAATTTGTTTGTCATTTTTTGATAAAAGAGTACCTACTGAAACAAAAGAAAAAATGGTTGAAAAATTAACATTAGAAACAATCATTGCAAAGAAAAAGATGTAGAGCAGTGGATTTTTTTTTATTTTAATTATAAAAAGGACAAAAATTAATAACTACTTACTGTAATTAATTAAATATGGTATCAAAAATAAAGAAATTTTATAAAAATACGTCATAATTAATAAAACGGATATAAATTATTTATAAAATCGTATGAAAATGGGAAAAATTTGAATAACTTAATTATTTTTAGGTTATGTTTTATATAAATTAAATAAAATATTTACTTTCGGCAGGTTTTATGTATGCTAAATAATTTAAGTGTTATTTTCTTAGTTTTTTTACGGTACCATCATAGTGCGATTCCAATTGTTGCTTATTTTATAAGATGATACGTTTTTATTAACAAATTATATTTTTTTCATGAAATTTTTTTTTTTTTCCCGCAAAGTTCAATTCACTGTCTCAGAGGGTATTAAAAAACTAGGTAACCCTTAAATTTTTAATAATATCGATTAAAAACTAACGGAGGTATTTACTATTTTGCGCAGTAATAATTTCGCGTCTCGAATGTGCAAAAATACGAAAATCGATTTGAGCGACCTCTAAATATTAATCGAATTTGGATTTTTTGGTATCAATCTTTTAGTTTTAATGTAATCTTTATAATTTAGGCCAGTGCGGGTTCATTTTTAAAAAAAAGCTTTTTTTGAATCACCCTAATGTATATGTATATTAATGGTTTTCTGGGATCTGCTCCGTGTTGTCGGTTTTTGGTTCTTAGAAGAACCGTATGTCTGACGACGTCACATATGTACATAATATAACCCGATAAAACTTTTAAATTCATCAGCTCCATTTGCTGTAATTAAAATAATGTTTTTCCTTATACTTTGGTGATTTTTCTTATTTAATGGATTACAGCATTTATTTACACGACTCGTTTTATAAAATTTAAGAAATATTATTTAAAAAACGTTTAGAACAAAAAATATATATTTGATTTTATGTATAAAGAAAAGTCTTGCGATAGCTAATATTCTGCATTAATTAATTAATTCATTTACTTTATTGATTAAAAAAATGTAAAATATTTGTCGACGGTATATTTACTAATAAAAATATTAAAATGGATGTCATATTTTGAATTCAAATAAAAACAAAGCATTCAATCCAATTCAGCCGAGCGCGGCTTTGACTCATCAGGCGCGGAGCCTTGCAGTAAAAAATTAATAATGTTTAAAGTAATGCCGGGCAGTGAAAATTTTTTTCAGAATATGAAACCTTAATATCCAGTCCATGTAACCATGAAAAAAACCTTATTAATTGATAGAGACTTTATCAAAAATTTGAATTGTATATTTCAATGATCAAAAAAAGTTTAAAAAAATTAAAAAAAAGTTTTTTATTTGTTTATAAAAATACATTATATTAGCCTATAAGTCAGCGGTTCTTAACCTTTTTGGCTGGCGACCCACAATTCAAAAATATTAGAAGCTCGCGACCCGATAAAAAATAAAATCATCAATTTTCTACATTTTCTTTATTTAAAGTAAGGATGCAGTGATTACGGCGCGCTTTTTTAAAAAGCCCATCTTGATATGGCCCGCGACCCAAATTTGGGTCGCGACCCGAGGTTAAGAAACGATGCTATAAGTCCTGAAAATTTTACTAGGAAAGTTTTTTCACAATTAATTTTTTAATTAAAAGTGAGAAAAATCTTTGTTACAAAAATTAAAATAAAAAAAAATATTTTAAGGAAATATTGTTACTAATGACTACTAACGATTGATGTATTAAAATTTAAATTCTATTACCAAGTGGAAAATGGGGGGTCCACTTGACGTGATCTGGCTCAGTCGTGATTATGTTTTTTTCAATCTCAGAAACAACCTAGGATTGGCCATCCTGAGATAAGGCAAACCTCATTAAATGGCCTGGTCATTTTGTATTTTTTCCCACCCTATATGCATGTTATAGTATATATACTTATAAGTATACTTAATACAGTAATTGAAGCCTTTTATTGCAATTTTCTATTCATTGTGGACATGTTTTTCTTGCACTTAAAAGTTTTTAAATCTCTTCCAGTTAGTTGAATAGCATGTTCTTTTACATATTGTTTTATTACTTAGTGCTCATTCATAATGGACGTAACCATAAGATGACCGTAAAATGTAAACATAATATCACCATAATTTGTATGTAACGATGAGTTGTGTTTATAATGAACGTATGCCTTATGTATATATTACTAAGGCGCGCATGTCCAAGTTCACTAAAATGGCAGCATTGACAGATTTCGTCTAATTAGTATGTCTTAAAACTTAAAAGTTTTAAGACATAATAATTATAATAATTATAAATATAAATTAAGTTAAAACTATCAGTGTTATCATAACCTTAGTGTAATGAGCGATATATACGTTGGCAAAGAGAAGAAAAAAAGGGCGAATTTCGTCGAATAATACTCGAACTAAAACTTTAGGATAGGGAATGGTTCTTTAGATTGTTTGTTCTGTGGATACACCAGAATACACTTGAAAAAGATCTGTCATCTGTTTACATGGCTACTACCCTGATTGCTACCAACAATGTTCTAGTGAAATCATGAAAGTTACTAAAATTCACACATAAGAAACCCATAAAGTTGAGATGATTTCAACTTTACATATTTTTTACGGTCACTCATAAGATCTTATGTTCGAACGTAAAACGTAAAAATTACGGCTATTCATTATAAACAGGCAAACTGGTTTTGTTAATATTCAACTTTACGTTTTACGTATTTCTTACGGGCATTTTATGGTTTTGTCCATTATGAATGAGCACTGATTTAGTTAATATTCAACTTTACGTTTTACGTATTTCTTACGAGCATCTTATGGTTACGTCCATTATGAATGAGCACTTAGTCTTTATTTAATCCTGTTTTGTCTGAATTTTACAAAAATAAGAAACTGTTAGGCCAGTCATACATTATAATATGTTAATAATTTAGTATAGGTAGGTACTTATACTTTATATTGACTGAGGTACTTGCACAAACACTACAACTTCCATTGCAGCTAATTTAGGATGGAAATGTTAGAACGTTCACAAATAGCGTCAACGTTCGCTAATAGCGCCCAGATAAATAGTGTCAATCTGTGGTGTCAATTACAATTCGCCCGAGCGGCCGGACCAATATACACTCCCAATTATATATGATGGAATTAGCTAATAAAAAATATTGGAGTTTGCTGAGTTTGATATTAGACCCTCGATTTAAAGCTTGAATATACAGGGTCTTGATAAAAAAAACTTCTAAAACTTTGTAATTGTTTCTTTGTGGGTTGAATAACCCACCAATAGAGTAAAATAAATTATCCCATTATAAATTAAGCCTAAAAAAATTTTTGTGGAAATTGTTCATATTATTGTTTTTCTAATGTTTAATATAAAATAATATATAAATATTAAAGTTAAGAAAAACATGACTTACATCCCGAAATTGGACAAGTCCAAGTTCTCCCAATTCCGAGACACATGCATAAGCTGCTTCACTTTGTAAAAACAGCTGACACAGTGTCATTTCAGCACTCCGGAAAAGGGATGCCATAATGTCGATTTTAATTTTTAATCTAAAATCAAACCAACAAATATTTTATACACTAATTTCATGCAGTACACCCACCACAGTACAATCACTTCGCAGAACATTCAGTGACAATCTATTCTATGACAGAATTTCTGTCCCCCTAGATGTAACCACAGTTTAGCCAACCATAAAAGTTGAATTAAATATAAGTCAAGACAACCCTGGTCAAGACCTAAGAAAATCACATACATATCATAGACATTGTCTATGCATAGATTTAAATATATGCAGAACATTCATTTTAGAATTAGAAGAGTCCTTGCACTGAAAGGAAAACTGACAACCTTGTTTATAAAAAGAAGTCCCTTCCAAAGATAATACATATATCATCTTTGGTCCCTTTTTTTGAGCCGATTTTAAGTTACCTACTTAAATATTAACCAATTAAGTATGTCAAAACTCCTAAAGGGATATTTCTTTTTAAATTAGAATAGTCCTTGCACTGAAAGGAAAACTGACAACCTTGTTTATAAAAAGAAGTCCCTTCCAAAGATAATACATACATAGTATATCATCTTTGGTCCCTTTTTTTGAGCCGATTTTAAGTTACCTACTTAAATATTAACCAATTAAGTATGTCAAAACTCCTAAAGGGATCTTTCTTCTCAAATAAGAATAGTCTTTGCACTGAAAGGAAAACTGACAACCTTGTTTATAAAAAGTAGTCCCTTCCAAAGATAATACATATATTATCTTTGGTCCCTTCGTCCAAAGATATACTCGCATAAGTTTAGTTTTAATTATTAATAAAAGTTTATTTTAAAATATAATATGAAATTTTAAATAATTTAAAAAAAGAGGTCCCCAAATTTATACTTCACAGAAAAGGGAAATGCGAATTGCGAAATGCGAAAATTGTTTTATTGGTCCATTTGAATTGGCGGGAAAAGCGTTTCGACGTTTCGACATATCCTGCGAATCCTGCGATCCTGCGGAAATCTTGAGATTGATCCAATTTTTACGAAAATCAAAATAATTTGGCGTAATGCGCATGCATTATCTAAAGCCGGGTTTACAATTGTCGCAGGGGTCCGATCGCAGAACATAAGCTTGTGCACATAGGCTTGTGCAAAGCACGTGCCACGTGGCGTCGCCACGGTGGCGATGGAGCAAGGTTCTTTTGACAGCTGGGTGCTTTGCGCACCCTATTGAAAATGCCATATAGAACCACAGAACATAATTATAGAACCATATAAAAAACACGTATCTGGATTCTATATGGATTTATCTGGTTTCTGTTCTATATGTATTTCCAGATAGGTTTCCCTATCTGGTTCTATAGTGTTTTAGAGTGTTTTTATCTGGTTCTATAATGTAATCTTCTATCTGGTTCTATAGTGAAATGCCTGTTTCAAATACCTATATTGAACCAGATACCCAGACTGCAAATAAGGTTCGAAAATATTCCAGGAATATTCCCTATCGCCTAGGAATAATCCGCTTCATTCTAGGAATATTCATTGGGAATATTCCTAGAATGATCCTCTAAAACTTCCAAGCATCATCTAAGAATATTCCCAGTGAATATTCATTAGTTTAGTTGCAATACCTCTCACCGTTGCTTACGCACGGTTGATAACTATATATACCGATAGGTTAATAATATTAGTTGGAGATGTGCGTCTGTGATGGCACAGCCCCGGACAACATTCGTGATAATCATACGAACATCACGTCGTGATTTTCACAAATTTTATTCATACTGATATCATACGGAAGTCACCGCGTGATAAATGAAAATCATACGAACGTCACGACGTGATTTTCACAAATTTTATTCATACGGACATCATCCGGATGTCACTGCGTGAGAAATAAAAATCATGTCGTGATTTTTTATGCCATTGCTGTTTGCGATTGACCGATGGCACAAAAAATCATGTCGTGATTTTTTATGCCAACAGTGTTTGGATAATCATTTTTGCGCCACGTTCGTACACTAAGAGAAAAATTATGTTGAATCAACAGTTTTTGCGGTTAAATACATTTAATATTTTCTTGGATTTAAATTAACTATATATATTTAATTTAAATCCAAGAAAATATTGAATGTTAAACTGTTAATTTAATTGTTAACATACTTTTTCTTTTAATGTACGAATGTGTCGCAAAAATGAAAATCCAAACACCGATGGCATAAAAAATCATGTCGTGATTTTTTATGACCAAACACCGATGGCATAAAAATACATGTCGTGATTTTTTATGCCATCGGTGTTTGGACATTTATTTTTGCGCCACATTCGTACATTGAGAGAAAAAGAATACCTACATATATATTGAATCAACAGTTTTTGTGGTTAAATAAAAACATTTAATATTTATTGAATTTAAATTAATAGTTAAATTAATTTTTGCGGTTAAATACATTTAATATTTTCTTGAATGTAATTACATTCAAGAAAATATTAAATGTATTTAACCGCAAAAACTGTTCATTCAATTGTTAACATACTTTTTCTTTCAATGTACGAATGTGGTGCAAAAATAAATATCCGAAGATGTCGGTGCACCGATGGCATAAAAAAATCATGTCGTGATTTTTTATGCCCAAACACCGATAGCATAAAAAATCATGTCGTAATTTTTTATGCCATCGGTGTTTGGATATTTATTTATACTTTTTCTCACACTGTACGAATGTGGCGCAAAAATAAATATCCAAAGATGTCCGATGGCATTAAAAATCATGTCGTGATTTTTTATGCCCAAACACCGATAGCATAAAAAATCATGTCGTGATTTTTTATGCCATCGGTGTTTGGATATTTATTTTTGCGCCCCATTCGTACATTGAGAGAAAAAGAATACCTACATTAAGGTGACCATTTTTCTTTAATGAAAAACCAGGACAGAGTCTGTCCGACATACACGCAGCATGCCCCCCCCCCTTTCAAAAAAAACAAACGAAACTTATTTTGTTTAATGTTTTTTAATTGAAAAAAAAATGAAAATTCTAAAAAAATAAAATATAAATAAAATAAATAATAAAAAAGCATTAAACATTTAAAACAAAATCAAATAATGAATATACCTCATTTAAAACATAACAAATAATAAAACAAGACTAGCTCGAAATCAGTGCTCTATACTTTTTTGAGGAGTGGATTGCCTCCAAAATCTTTGGCTCTGTGAGTAATAATTTATAAAAATCACCACAGTCTAAATCAAAATTTAATTTGGTAGTTAAGATACTTTTTAAGGTTTCCACTTTTAATTGAGTCTTATCACAGCTCCATATATTATTAACATGACTAAACACCCTTTCTGCTTGTGCATTGGTGCCAGGTAAACACATACAATACTCCAAAATATAAACCATATTTGTAATTGGATAATCATTATTATTAAAGAATTTAATGATCTCTTGCCATTTGGATCCAACCCTTGTCTTATTCTCTTTCCAAGAATCAAGTTTTTCTTGAACAACAAACTTCTTGAGACATGTAACTTCGTCAAAGAGATCATTTTCATCAATGCCATCTTTCCTTCTGGAATTATTAATATATTCTAAGCACTCCTGAATTTCCTCAAATTCAGGTATTTTGTTTAACAAAATCCAATTGAACTTTTGAAAATTATCACTATCCGGACTTTTCCACTGTTTTAAATAATCAATAGCTGTGACATAAAATTCAAAAATGTTTTTTTCTATTGAATGTTCACATATGCTACCATCTCGTACTAACGAATTTAACATCATTTTGAAGGACAAGGTGCGAAAATTTTCATCTCGTCGTTTTTCTAATTTTTCAATGAGTTCATTATAAACTCTACAGGTTTCAATAAAGGACGTTTTTTCGCCTTCTAATTTTAAAATAGTTTTGTGAAATAAATCTGCTATATTATGTGCAAAATATAACCAGATTTCAGTTTCAGGATTATTAAAATAGTTTTTAATTAGTACTGGGCACTTATCAATTGATAAAAAATAGGACTTCAATGCTTCATACTGTTGTAAAACTCGTTCAAGTGCAGGAAGTAATGCTAACCATCGTGTATTGCTGTAACCTAACATGTTCTTGTACTCAGTACCAACAAATTCACAAAACTCTTTCAGTTTCTCTACTCTAACTGTATAAATATAAAAATGGCTATAAATTTTTACAATTAAAGCTTCAATGTCTACTGGTAATGTATCACAAGCAGTCTTGATACAATTATTGACTATGTGGGCCATACAACCCACACCAACAATCGAAGCATTGTTTAATTTACATTTAACTTTGTAAAAAACATTATTTACTCCATTTCGAGCAACACCACCTGTTATATATTGATCATTCTGTTTGTGTTAATTATTACCAGTTACCTTTATATAATTAATTAATCATTATGTCATTCAATGTCAGAAATGTCTGTACTGTAATTTTAGTTTATTAAAGCCTTAATTCCGAAGGTTTCTTTTATAACAATTTATAACACGATTTTATCACTGGATTAGATGTAAAAATTTACCATATTCATTAGAGGACGTTAAAAGAATAGTATCAGCATGTCCGGTTTGTGCCGAGATTAAGCCGAGATTTCATAAAAACCAAGGAAAACTTATAAAAGCGACAGCCCCATTTGAGAGATTGAATATTGATTTTAAAGGACCACTGCCTTCGAACAACCAAAATAGATACTTACTAGATATTGTAGATGAGTATAAAACATGTCCCTCTATCACTATGAATATATCCAGGAGTACCGAACATTGAAAATAATTGAGTTAAACAATTGATCACTGTTGAAGACGACATATCAGAACATGGAAAGGCAAATGGAATTAAGGCTTTAATAAACTAAAATTACAGTACAGACATTTCTGACATTGAATGACATAATGATTAATTAATTATATAAAGGTAACTGGTAACAATTAACACAAACAGAATGATCAATATATAACATTCTTCCTCGCTCAACTTCTAACATAATCTTGAAGATATGAAGGAGGTCTATGGGTTCTCTTTTCTAAAACTTGAAAGTGTTCGTTGATTCCTGCAGAATTGGATTGAACAGAATTATCTGTAGATTCCATTCCATCGTATATCAGGGAATGATTGGATTTATTTCTCTCTTCAATATTGTTCATTTCTTCAGGAACTGTTACATTTTCATCTATCATTTCATCTTCTAATAGTTTTAGATCTCCTCTTGGTGCTAAATGTCGAGTTGATA